TTTTCATTTGAAAAATATTTCACCATTATAAGATAACTTAATGTTATTTACATAATATAGAGTTTATCGTTATAAAGAGTTTTCACTGTATATTGCATATAACATAATTATAGAATATATACATGTTTAATAGGGATGCATAAAGGTATGTCGGCGATATTATTATATAGATTATTATATAGTTCTATTTTTTCTCTCAAATTTAAATAATAAAAAAAATATTTTTTTCTCACAGACACACGCTCTATAGAATAAAAATAACACATTCACGTAAAATCGTTATTTTTATGGTTTTTGAGTAATCTATGAGTAAAATCACTTATTACCAATTATCAACACGATGAAGTATATTTTTGAATATCTTATAATTTATTACTATTAGATTTAAAAATTAAAACCATTTTATTAGGGGAATACCAGTTCCGTAAGCAAACAAACGGCAATCCATTGCCTAACGCCAGATACATTCAACAGCAAGTGTTTCTTTACAAACAGTTTTCTTGCCCAAACGATCATAACGTTCTTTTCATGGAATGGGGACAATTTATTGCACACGATACAACTCGCCTACCACCCGACGTTTCAGGTAGGCCATCATAAAAAAATATGATAYACCACAAAAAACGTATACGAATATAGACACAGTACACAGAGCTACAAAAGTAATAAATAAGACTTATGAGAATGGAGAGGTAGCGATGATGAAAACAAAATATTAAATATTAACCCATCACTTTATTACTTCGTTATGTGTTTTTAATTTTTAATGTTGTGTACTTAAGTTAGGTATTTGTATTTTAGATTCTACATAAAAATATTTAAATATATATTATGTAGGTAATACCTAGATGGCTAGATGTATGTGATTAAGCGTTAAGCAACGTTAAAAAAAACACTTGATTRTGTAACATAATCTGTATGAACTACTATGAATATTTTATGATATATTATTATGTCAATAAATTTAAATTTGGACTCTAATTTTACTACAAAAGTGAAAAGAGTGGGTAAATAGTTTCATTAAAGGTATTTAAATGTATTTAATTCTCGTCGTTTTCAGTCGGTGGTAATTGTTGCGATTTACAAAAAATCAAACCGGTACCTCCCCAATGTCAAGCGGTCATTGAAGTGCCGAAAAATGATCCGATTTATTTGGAACGTGGCCAGACGTGTATCAATTTCAATCGGGCACGGACGTCTACWTCCAACGGTTGTATATTAAAACCTACGACATTTGTGAGTGCAATAACAATATTTTACATTCGTTTTCGTTTGATACTACAAATTACAATAATATTTATTATAATTTATATAGTATGAAAATTGTATATCTTAGTTAATATTATATTCGACATCTTAAGTCTAGTAATTCTCAACATGTGGGAACAA